TGGAGGGAATCAGGGAATTTGGGATTTGGGAATTTGGGATTTAGGGAATTTGGGATTTAGGGATTTTGGAATTTGGGATTTTGGGATTTAGAGATTTAGGGATTTGGGAATTCAGCACTTGGGGTTTGTAGGGAAGGGGATGGAGACCACAGGCTGAGGCCAGAGGGGACCCAGAGGCACTTCTGGGGTGCTGGGGGTTTGGGATGGGGTGTGAGGATTCCATGGGGCTGGGAGTTTGGGATGGGCTACAAGGATTCTATAGGGCTGGAGTTTGGGATGGGGTGAAAGGATTCCATGGAGATGGGATTTTGGATTGGGGTGAAAGGACTCTGTGGGGTTGGGATTTTGGAATGGGAGTTTGGGACGGGCTGTAAGGATATTCCATGGGCCGGGGGTTTGGGATGGAGTCAAAGGATTCCATGGGGATGGGAAACTGAGATGGGTTGTAAGGATTCCATGGGGCTGAGGGAGTTTGGGATGGGCTGTAAGGACATTTTATAGGGCTGGGAGTTTGGAATGGGGTGAAAGGATTTTCTGTGGGGCTGGGGGTTTGGGATGGGCTGAAAGGAAAGAATTCCATGGGCTGGGAATCCAGATGGGCTACAAGGATTCCATGGGGTTGGAGGTCTGGGATGGGGTGAAAGGACCTTCCCTGGGGCTGGGAATTTGGGATGGGCTGTGAGGATTTTCTGTGGGGCTGGGAGTTTGGGATGGGCTACAAGAATTCCATGGGGGTGGGAATCCAGGACAGGCTACAAGGACATTCCGTGGGGCTGGGAGTTTGGGATTTGTGTAAGGATTCCATGGGGTTGGAAGTTTGGGAAGGGGTAAAAGGATTCTGTGAGGTTGGGATTTTGGAATGGGAGTTTGGGATGGGCTGTAAGGACATTTTATAGGGCTGGGACTTTGGGATGGCGTGAAAGGATTTTCTGTGGGGCTGGGGGTTTGGGATGGGCTGTGAGGATCCCGTGGGACTGGGAACTGTCAGGACCGAGCCCATCCCCACAACAACCCACAGACCCAGAGACACCAGGCAGGAACCGTGTGAGATTCCAAGCCTGGAACTGGGGCAGGATGGGGGAAAAGGCTGCCCCAGCACTTCCCAACATCTCCCAGCACTTTCCCAACACTTCCCTGTGAATTTCCTATGGAAAACAATCTCCCAGTATCTCCCACCATCTCCCAGCCTTTCCCAGCCCCAGTAAGAGACAACGCTGGATTTGGGATTTGCCGCCCCTCCCTCGGCTCTCCCCATGCCGGGCCAGCTGTGGAGCAGCTCCCATGGAACTCTGGCGGTTCCAGGAGCTCCGGGAGCCTCCAGCAGGGCCGGCTCAGCCCCGCTCAGAGTTTCCAGCCGCTCGCTCGGCTGTTGCTGCGTCTCCGGGTGACCGAGTCCCTCCAGATTCCCTCAAATCTCGGTCCAAGAATGTTGTTTGGGCTGAAGAATGCGCGGCTGGGAAGGGAAAAGGGAAAAGGGAGGCTCGGGGTGAGCGGGGAGGTCGAGGCAGGGCTGGATCAGCTCTCCCTGCTGACCTGACCTTCCCTGCAGTTGGTGGGCAGATGTGGGGCCTCCGCCCCAGAGGGATCCCCGAATCCTTCAGGGCTCCTTTCCTGGAGCCTCTCAGGGTTCCCTTTCCTAAAGTTCCTCAAGATTCCCTTTCCTGGAGTCCCTCAAGATTCCCTTTCCTGGAATTCCTCAGGATTCCCTTTCCTGGAGACCCTCAGGATTCCCTTTCCCCCTTTCCTGGAGTTCCTCAGGATTCCCTTTCCCCCTTTCCTGAAATCCCTCAGGGTTCCCTTTTCTGGGGTTCCTCAGTGTTCCCTTTCCTGAAATCCCTCAGAGTTCCCCTTTCCTGGAATTCCTCAGGATTCCTTTCCATGAGTCCCTCAGAGTTCCCTTTCCTGGTGTCCCTCAGGGTTCCCTCAGGTCCAGGGTGGTGGGAATCCATCGGGACCTTCCCCGGGCACAGGGAATTAATTCCAGAGGGCCCAAAGAGAGCAGAGCTCTGCTGCCAGGGAGCGCCTGGAGCAGCGGGAGGAGGAGGAGGGAGAGGAGGAAGATGAAGAAAATGAGAGTCCCCTGCATGGATGGAGCAATGAGAGGTACCTGGAGAGAGGAAGAAGAGGAAGAGGAGGAAAAGAAGAAAGAGGAGGAAGAAAAGGAAAATGAGGAAAATGAGGGATCTCTGCATGGATGGAGCGATGAGAGGTACCTGGAGAGAGGAACAGGAAGAAGATGAAGAAGAGGAAGAGGAGGAAGAAGAGGAAGAGGAAGAAGAAGAGGAAGAGGAGGAAGAGGAGGAAAATGAGGAAAAGGAGAAAGAGAAGGAGGAGAAGGAAGATGAGGAAGAGGAGGAAGAGAAGGAAGAAAAGGAAGAGAAGGGTTCCCTGTATGGATGAAGCAATAAAAGGTACCTGGAGAGAGGAAGAAGAGGAAGAGGAGGAGGAGGAGAAGGAAGATGAAGAAAATGAGGGTTCCCTACATGGATGAAGCAATCCAGAGGTAGCTGGACAGAGGAAGAAGAAGAAGAAAAAGAGAAGGAAAATAAGGAAGAGAAGGAAGAGGAGGAAGACAAGGAAGAGAAGGAAGAGGAGGAAAATGAGGATCCCCTGCATGGATGAAGCAATCCAGAGGTACCTGGAGAGAGGAAGAAGACGAAGATGAAGAAGAAAAAGAGGAGGAAGAGGAGGATGAGGAGGAAGAGGAAGAAGAGGAGGAAGAGGAGGAAGACTCCTGCTCCAGCTGCCACCACACCGCTCAGAGGGGATAAAACCCCTCCCCACCTCCCTTCCCTGGGGTTTTCCTCCCTTTCCCTGCCCTCTTTTCCCACTTTCCCCACATCCTCCCTGCCTGCAGACGGGCTGTGCTTTCCAGGCACATTTCCCATCCCAAATATTCGGGATTTCTGGCCGAGTCCCCGCTGTACAGCGTGTCCCTCCAAGCCCGGCCACCGAACTGCGCTCACATCGCTGCTGCTGCTCCTCCTCCTCCTCAGGATCCCCGCAGGGCTCCCCCCGCCCCGGGAGGATGTTTTGGCTGGGAATTTCCTATGGAAAACAAGGAGGAACGGAGCCCGGGGGGGAGCTGGCACCTGCTGAGCTCTGCTAAATGATTCCAGGCTGCCGGGAGGATCCGGGAGCGCCGGGCTCCTTCCCTTCCCTTCCCTTCCCTTCCCTTCCCTTCCCTTCCCTTCCCTTCCCTTCCCTTCCCTTCCCTTCCCTTCCCTTCCCTTCCCTTCCCTTCCCTTCTCCCAGAGGATGGATGAGATCCCAAATCCTGGTGGATGGATGAGACCCCAAAACCCAGGGGAGGGATGAAATCCCAAATACCCAGAAGAATGGACGAGACTCGAAATCCTGGGGGATGGATGAGATCCCAAATCCTGGTGGGTGAATGAGACCCCAAATCGCTGGGGGATGGATGAAATCCTCAATCCTGGTGGATGGATGAGACTCCAAATCCTAGGGGATGGATGAGATCCCAAATCTCCAGGGGATGGGTGAGATCCCAAATCCTGGGGGATCGATGAAATCCCAAATCCTGCTGGGATGGATGAGACCCCCAAATCCTGGGAATGGATGAGATCCCCAAATCCTGATGAGATGGATGAGATCCCAAATCCCAGAGGATGGATGAGATCCCCAAATCCCAGGGGATGGATGAGATCCCAAAATACCCAGGGGCATGGATGAGACTCCAAATCCTGATAGGATAAATGAGATCCCAAATCCCAGGGAATGGATGAGAACCTCAAATTCCCAGGAAAGAATGAGACTCCAAATCCCAGGAGGATGGCCGAGATCCCAAATCCTGGGGGATGAATGCGACCCCAAATCCTGGTGGGATGGATGAAATTCCAAATCTCAGGGGATGGCTGAGATTCCAAATCCTAGGGGATGGATGAGACCCCAATTCCTGGTGGAAAGGATGAGACCCCAAATCCCATGAGGATGACTGAGCCCCCAAATCCTGATGGGATGAATGAGACCCCCCAATCCCACATGGATTTTCCCAGCCTGCAGAAGCGCCAGCTTGGCAACCCCAGGCTGCCAAATCCGAAGACAGATCCCCGCTGTCACAGTGGCCCCTTTGCTGGAGAATTTATTTACTTTGGATGCCGCTGCCTTATCGTCCGTGGAAATGTTTATCCCAAATATTTAACGGCAGCGCTGCACAAACTGAGCCTTCCCGGGGAGCACTCGGAGCAGGGCACACATCTCCCCTCCTGGAAGTGTAAAAAATTCAGGGAAAATTCCTCATTTTTCCCCCAGCACCCCCAAAACCTGACATTCCCTAACCTGACATTCCCTAACCTGACATTCCCCTCCTGGTCGTGTAAAAATTCAGGGAAAATTCCTCATTTTTCCCCCAAGCATCCCCAAAACCTGACATTCCCTAATCTGACATTCCCTAACCTGACATTCCCTAACCTGGCATTCCCCTCCTGGTCAGGAAAAAATTCAGGGAAAAAATTCCTCGTTTTTCCCTCCAGCACCCCCAAGACCTGACATTCCCTAACCTGACACTTCCTAACCTGACATTGCCCTTCTGGTTATGTAAAAATTCAGGAAAAATTCCTCACTTTTCTCCCCAGCACCCCCAAAACCTGACATTCCCTAACCTGACATTCCCCTGCTGGTCATGTAAAAATTCAGGAAAAATTCCTCATTTTTCCCCCACCATCCCCAAAACCCGACATTCCCTAACCTGGCCAGAGGCCTCCTCGCAGCTCCCTGATGAGAAACGCAGGAGAGCCCTGACAAACAACATCCCAATCCCGCTAAGTCGTTGAGCAGAGGGAGCCTGGAAAGTGCCAACACTCCTGAGAGAAAAGGCTGGAGAGAGAGAGAGAGGAGGGAGAGGAGGGAGAGGGAGGAAAGAAATCGCAGGTTATTTATAACGCCAGGCAGCACCAGGGGCTCGCCAGTCTCTCCTGCAAAGCTGCGGCGGGGAGGTCACTCCCTGAAAAAAATCCCCAAAAAAAAAATTTTTTTAAAAATAAAAATAAATCGCGGAATCCCCGCCGAGCCCCGGCCGTGCCAGCGCAAGATTCGGGATCCGGGGCGGGCACGGGCGCTGCGGCTCGGGAGCCTCCCCCCCTCCGATGCTGCCGGTGCCACGGCACAGCCCGCAGCAGCCTTTGCACAGGAGGAGAGCGGCAGCTCGGTGAGTCCGGCCCGGCCTTTCGCAGGCAGGTTTTTTGGGGTTTTCTTTTATTGTTTATTTGGGGTTTTTTATGTTGGAAGGCTGGTTTGTATCGCTGCGCCCCGGCTGCGCGTGGGGTGGCACAGCTGGAGGGATGGGGATGCTGGAGAGGCGCTTCCCCTCCTGCCCGCTGCTGCCGGTGCCCATCTCCCTTCCCACCCACTTCTCCCGGTGCCCATCTCCCTTCCCACCCACTTCTCCCGGTGCCCACCTCCCCTGCTGCCCGATTCTCCTGCTGCTCCTCTCTCCTGCCCACTTCTCCTGATGCCATCTCCCTTCCCACTCACTTTTCGTGCTGCCCCTCTCTCCTGCCCACTTCTCATGATGCCCAACTCTCTTCCCACCCATTTTCCTCGTGCCCATCTCCCCTCCTGCCCACTTTCCCTGATGTCCGTCTCATTTCTCTCTTTTCCTGCTGCTCCTCTCCCATCCCGTCCATCTCCCCATCCCATCTGCCCTCCTGCCCCTCTGCCACCTTCATGCCCACTTCTCCGGGATCTGGGCACCTTCCCTGATGTCCAGGCTGGGCAGTGCCCCCATCCCATCCCATCCCGTCCCATCCCATCCCATCCCATCCCATCCCAGGTTCCATCACCCCACGGATGCCCCCAAACCCTTGGCACGAGGAGCTGACCCCGGTGCAGCCCCTGGCACAGGACAGGGATATCAGGAGGGGACGGGGACCTCAGGGCCAGACCTGACCCCAAACCCGGGGAGAAAACCCCACAAACAACAAGGGAACAGTGGGAGGTGCTGGGGACAGAATTTGGGGTCACCTGAGGGGTGAAGGGGGGCACTGGGAAAGGTGAGGGGACACCAGATAGGGGGATTTTCCCCCAGAGATGGGGATTTGTCCTCAGCAATGGGGATATTCCCCTAAGGGATGGGGTTCTGCCCTTAGGTATGGGGTTTTTCCTCCAGGGATGGGGTTGTTGCCCCCAGATAAAGGGTTTTGCACCTGGGATGGGGTTTTTGCCCCCTGACATGGGGATTTTCCCCCAGAAATGGGGTTTTGCCCCCCAGGGATGGGGGGTTTTCCTCCAGGTATAGGGTTTTGCCCCCCAGGGATGGGATTTTGGCCCTGGGATGGGGTTTTGCCCCAAAGAGGCCCCCAAGAAGGGGCTGCCAAGAGGGTGGAGGAGCTGCAGGCTCTGGTATGAGAGCAGGCACAGAGCCCTGGAGCAGGAGGAGGAGGAGGAGGAACAGGAACTCCTCTGGCCCTGCCAAGCTCCCCGTGGCACTCAGCACCCCCAGATCCCGTCCCGAGCAGGAGCAGCGATAAAAGGACAAACCCAAGCCTGGATCCCCCAATCCCTCTCTGTTCCCGCGCCAGGCTGGCAGGGCACTCTGTGCCCTCTGTGAGTGCCAGCCCGGGCGTCCCCTCCCTGCTGCAGGCTGGGGACACGGCCAGGGGCCACCAGGTGACCTCAGGGCCACCCCCTGGCACGGCAGAAAGGGGACGTTGGTCCTTGCTGGTCCCTGCTGGTCCCTGCTTGTCCCTGCTGGTCCTTGATGTCCTTACTGGTCCCTACTGGACTCTGTTGATCCCTACTGGTCCCTGCTGTCCCCTGATGTCCCTGGTGGTCCCTACTGGTTCTTACTGGTCCCTGCTGGTCCCTGATGTCCCTACTGGTCCCTGCTGGTTCCTGATGTCCCTACTGGTTTCTACTGGTCCTTGCTGGTCCCTGTTAGTCCTTACTGGTTCCTACTGGTCCCTTCTGTCCCCTGATGTCCCTGCTGGTTCCTAATGGTTCTTACTGGTCCCTACTGGTTCTTACTGGTCTCTGCCGTCTCCTGATGTCCCTGCTAATCCCTACTGGTTCTTACTGGTCCCTGATGTCCCTACTGGTTTCTGCTGGTCCCTGCTGATCCCTACTGGTCTCTGCTAATCCCTGATGATCCCTACTGGTCCCTGACATCCCTACTGGTCCCTACTGGTCCCTGCTGGTTCTGGATGATCCCTGCTGTCCCTGCTGGTCCCTGTTAGTCCTTACTGGTCCCTGCTGGTCCCTGCTGTCCGTGCCGGAGCAGAGCTGGCAGTGACACCCTCCCAGCCACGTCGGATCCTCTCCCCGCTCCCAGCAGCCAAATTCCTGGAGGGATTTCAAACTGCCTGGCTGCAGGAACAGCCCGTGCGCTCATTTATCCCGGGATGAGGAGCCCAGATGACCCCAGGGCTGGAATCCTCCCGCTCCCAGCCCCACCTGGCCACGGCAGGAGGAGGCCAAGGGGATCAGGGACGGGTTTGCCTCATTCCCTTATCTCCTCTGGATCATTACCAAGTGTTGTCCCCTCTCCCTGGTCCCACCGAGGGTGCTGTCCCTTTTCGTGCCTGGGGAAACGGGAGCTTGGAAGAGGTTTCAGCTCCAAAACCAGGCAGGATTTGTTTACCAGGATCTGCATCCCGCGTTTCTGTGGGGGAAGGGAGAGCTGGATGAAACCCACAGCGATTCCTGTCACCAGTGAGCGAGCGGAGCATAAATAGCTCCTTCAAACGATGCCTCCAGCTCCTTCAAAAGGCTCCTCAGGCTCCCGGAATCGCCCTGATCTGGCAGATTCCGTTCTCAGGCAGAGAATTCAAATCCCTTCTCCAAGGGGATCCAAATTCCTCCTGCTCCCTCCCACGCGGAGCCAACCCGGGGCACCTCGTGTGACCCCAGAAAAATCCATGTGTCCCCAGGCTCTGTTCTCTGCCCAGGAACTGGGATGGAATGAGCCAGAAATCAGGATCTCACCAGCACATCTCCTCTGGGGTGAACATTCCTCCCAAATCTCCACTGGGGTGGAGGTTCCTCCCAAATCTCCTCCAGGGATGGAGGTTTCTCCCAAATGTCCACTGGTTTGTCCCAAATCTCCACTGAGAACAAAGGCTCCTCCCAAATCTTTACTGGGATGGAGATTCCTCCCAAATTTCCACTGGGAAGAACGTTTTCCCCAAATCTCCACTGGTTTCTCCCAGATCTCTGCCAGGGAGGGAGGTTTTTCCCAAATCTCCACCCGTTTCCCCCAAATCTCCACTGAGGACTAAAGCTCCTCCCAAATCTCCACCAGGGATGGAAGTTCCCTCCCAGATTTCCACTGGAATGAAGGTTCCTCCCAAATCTCCACTGGTTTTTCCCAAAATCTCCACCAGTTCCTCTCAGATTTCCACTGGGATGGAGGTTCCTCCCTAAATTTCCACTGGGAAGAACGTTTTCCCCAAATTTCCTCTGGTTTCTCCCAGATCTCCACCAGGGAGGGAAGTTTTTCCAAAATCTCCACCAGGGATGGAGGTTCCTCCCTAAATTTCCACTGGGAGGGAGGTTCTCCCCAGATTTCCACTGGGAAGGAGGTTTTGCCCAAATCTCCACCGGTTCCTCCCAAATCTCCACCAGGGCCAGAATTTCCTCCAAGGTGAAAAGTGTGAAGATCACACAACTCCACCCAGAAGAAATGTCCACAGCCAGGGATTTTTGGGCAGGATTCCCTCATCTCCTGCTCCTCCAGCCCTGCCTTCCTCCCCACCTCACCCTCCCTCACCTTTGTCCCCTCTCAGGTCCCTCCATCGCCATGCCTCAGCCCACCACCCTCATCCTCCTCCTGGCCGGGCTCTGCGCGTCCTCACTGGGCCAGTACAACGAGGAGGAGGACCTGGCGTGGCTCCAGTACTACCTGCGGCAATCCCGCGCCTCCTCCTACAACTACGTGCCCTACTACGAGGAGGAGAGCCCCGCGTACGCCTACTCCTACCCCAGCGCCACCGACACGGAGCCGGAGCCCGAGCCCGAGCCGCAGCAGGCAGTGCCCTGGCGGTGTCCCCAAGAGTGTGACTGTCCCCCCAACTTCTCGTCGGCCATGTACTGCGACACGCGCAACCTGCGCTACCTGCCCTTCGTGCCGTCGCGGATGAAGTACGTCTATTTCCAGAACAACCTCGTCACCTCCATCCAGGAGGGCGCCTTCGACAACGCCACCGAGCTGGAGTGGCTGGCGCTGCACAACAACCAGATCAGCAGCGACAAGATGGGCAAGAAGGTTTTCGGGAAGCTGCAGAGGTTGGAGAGGCTCTACATGAACAACAACAACCTGACGCGGCTGCCCAGCCCGCTGCCGCGCTCGCTGCGCGAGCTCCACCTCTCCTACAACCAGATCTCCAAGGTGCCTCCCAACGCTCTGGAGGGGCTGGAGAACCTCACGGCGCTCTACCTCAGCCACAACTTCATCTTCGAGATGGGCGCGTCCCTCAAGGGGCTCAAGTCGCTTATCCTGGCCGACCTGAGCTACAACAACCTCAGGAAGGTCCCCGACGGGCTGCCGGCCTCGCTGGAGCAGCTCTACATGGAGTACAACTACATCAACGCCATCCCCGATGAGTATTTCCAGGTGTCCCCCAGGCTGCTGTACGTGAGGATGTCCCACAACAGCCTGACCAACCAAGGGCTCTCCAGCAACACCTTCAACAGCAGCAGCATCCTGGAGCTGGACCTCTCCTACAACCGGCTGCAGAAGATCCCGCGGGTCAACACCAACCTGGAGAACCTCTACCTGCAGGGGAACCAGATCGACGGTGAGCAGGGGTGGGGAAGGGGATGGGGAACCCACGGGAACCATCTGGTGTGGTGGGAAACCCATAGGAACAGGTATGGGAACGGGAATGGAGATGGGGATGGGAATGGGGAATGGGAATAGGGTTGGGATGGAAATGGGGACAGGAATGGGAACAGGAACAGGTACAAGTATAGGAACGGGAATGGAGATGGGGATGGGAATGGGGATAGGGACAGGAATGGGGATGGGAACAGGAACGGGAATGGAGACGGGGATGGGAATGGGAATAGGGTTGGGATGGAAATGGGGACAGGAATGGGAACAGGAACAGGTACAGGCATAGGAATGGGAATGGAGATGGGGATGGGAATGAGAATAGGGACAGGAATGGGGATGGGAACAGGAACAGGAACGGGAATGGAGATGGGGATGGGAATTGGATAGGGACAGGAATGGGGATGGGAAGGCGTCAGTGCCGCCATCAGCTGTTGCAGGGAAAACACAGAACCCCGCAGCGGGGAGCTGCCAGCAGCACAGACACGGGAACAGATTCCCAAATGTTTGCTTTCCAAAGCGGAGCTGCCGCCGTCTGCCCACAAACGCCGCGGAGCCACCGCCAGCTCCTCCTCCTCCTCCTCCTCTGCGGGTCCCGCTGACCTTCACAGCCCCCCAAAATCGGGGATGCTGCTCAAACCCCTTGGGAGCATCCGGAGCGCAGTCCTGCCCCGAACCGAGGGTCCCTCTATGGGTGCAGCCCCCAAATCCCAGCTCTGCCCCCCCTGCGTCCTGCTGCCTTTTCCTGGAGCTCTGCTGCCCTCTAGGCTCAAATCCTGCACGGAAAAAAATCCCCAAAAAAATGTATTTTGGAGTTTGTTCCATCTCCCGCTTCCTGCGCTGGGCTGGGCTGGAATTTCCCTGCCTGGCGCTGGCAGCAGAGGAGCGCAAAGGGGACGGCTGGGATGGGGACAGGGACATCCCAAATCTCCACTGGGATGGGAGGTTTCTCCCAAATCTCCTCTGGTTTCCCCCAAATCTCCACCAGGAAAGGAGCTCCCTCCCAAATCCCCATTGGGAGGGAATTTTCTTCCAAATCTCCAAGTGGTTTCCCCCAAATCTCCACTGAGGACTAAGGCTCCTCCCAAATCCCCATTGGGAGGGAATTTTCTTCCAAATCTCCACTGATTTCCCCCAAATCTCCACCAGCGATGGAGGTTCCTCCCTAAATTTCCACTGGGAAGGAGGTTTTTCCCAAATTTCCACTGGTTCCTCCCAAATCTCCACCAGGGATGGAGGTTCCTCCCAAATCCCCACTGGGAAGGAGGTTTTCCCCAAATCTCCACTGGTTTCTCCCAGATCTCCACTGAGGACCAAGGTCACATTTTTTCCCCCCTGCCTGCCTCAACACAAAGGAGCTCGCAGAGGTGGATCCCTCAGAACAGAGAATTTCCCACCGAAAATCCATTTTTGGGGAAAATTGTGGGGGATTTGGCTCCACAGAGAAGGCTGAGCAAGAACAGAGGCCAGACAGAGCTATTGAATAAAATAGGATTTATTAAAAGGATCTCCTCAATGGATCCACCTTGGGCAGCACAAGAGCCCAGCCAGGGCTGCACCCAAGGTGAACCAAAATGGTCACAAAATGAACTTAAGATGAACCCAAAATGGCCACAAAATGAATCCAAGGTGAACCAAAATGAACCCAAAATGGACCCAAATGGTCACAACATGAACCCAATATGAGCCAAAATGGTCACAAAATGAACTCAATATGAGGCAAACTGGTCACAATGCGAACCCAAGATGGACCCAAAATGGTCACAAAATGAACCCAAAATGACCCAAATGGTCACAAAATGAACCCAAGACGAACCAAAATGGTCACAAAATGAACCCAACATGAACCCAAAAATGGTCAAAAAATGAACCCAAGGTGAACCCAAATGGTTCCAAAATGAACCCAAAATGGACCCAAATGGTCACAAAATGAACCCAAGATGGACCCAAAATGGTCACAAAATGAACCCAAAATGGACCCAAAATGGTCACAAAAATAACCCAAGATGGGCTCAAAATGGTCATTAAATGAAGCCAAGATGGACCCAAATGGTCACAAAGTGAACCCAAGATGGACCCAAAATGGTCACAAAATGAACCCAAAATGGCACAAAATGCACAACCGCTCACGGGGTCTGTCACTTTTATAAGTTCTGCTGCATATCAAATATTGGAGTTAATTGTCTAATTACCTTAAGGTTATGAAGTCCTATCCTTCTTGTTTTCCCTCTCTTCATTCCATTGTTGTTTCTGCTCTTGGGGTGAAATTTGGACCATTTCTCCTTGGTCCCCACTAGAGCAGGAACTGTTTTATCTCTATGCACAGAGCTCACCACCCCCTAACACCAACCCCAAAACCCACCCCCTAAACCACCACAGAACCGCAAAAAATCCCAAAAAAAAAAACCCCAAAAAAACCCAAAAAAACCCAAAAAACCCCCCAAAAAAACCCAAAAAACCCCAAAACCCCAAGGCCTCACCACCTCCTCTCTCCCCACAGAGTTCTCCATCAGCAGCTTCTGCTCCGTGGTGGACGTGGTGAACTACTCGCGGCTGCAGGTGCTGCGGCTGGACGGCAACGCCATTAAACGCAACGCGGTGCCCCCGGACGCGCCGCTGTGCCTGCGCCGCGCCACCGTCATCGAGATCTGAGCCCCCCCAGGACTGGTGTCCCCCACAGGTCCCCAGGGGGATCCCCTCGTTCCTGCTTCCCCGCCCGACTCGCAGCGCCATCGCCGTTTTTTCCGGAATTGTCCCGTTTTTCACTCAGATCCCGGCTCTGACCCCGCCACAGCGTCCCACGAAGGGGACACGGGCAGCTCCTGTCCCAGGGTGGGGTGGGACACGGCAGGGGTGGGGATCGTCCTGCCTTGGACAGGGGGAAATCCCAAACTCGATCCCAAATTTGGGTCTGAATTCCCTGGGAGGATCTTCCTTACAGGAGGTTCAGACCCTTTTAACATGGGGAAATCCCAATCCCAAATCTGGATCTGAACCCACTGAAAGGAGCTGCCTTGCAGGGGGATCTGACCCTTGTTCCATGGGGAAATCCCAAACTCGATCCCAAATTCGGGTCTGAACCCTTGGGAGGAGCTTACTTTCATGGGGATCAGACCCTTTTTCCATAGGGAAATCCTTCCAGGGTGATCAGACCCTTTTTCCATGGGGAAATCTCAATCCCGACCCCAAATTCGGGTCTAAATTCACTGGGAGGAGCTTCCTTACAGGGGGTTCAGATCCTTTTTCCATGGGGAAATCCCAATCCCAAATCTGGATCTGAACCCACCAAAAGGAGCTGCCTTACATGGGGATCAGACCCTTCTTGCATGGGGAAATCCCATGCGGAAATCCCATGGGGATCAGACCCATTTTCCATGGGGATATCCCATGGGAATCAGACCCTTTTTCTATGGGGAAATCCCAATCCCAAATCCAGGTCTGAACCCCCTGAAAGGAGCATCCCTTCCATGGGGATCAGACCGTTTTTCCATGTGGAAATCCTATGGGGATCAGACCCTTTTTCCATGGGGAAATCCCAGGGGGAAATCCCATGAGGACCAGACTCTTTTTCCATGGGGAAATCCCAATCCCAAATCCAGGTCTGAACCCCCTGGGAGGAGCTTTCTTCCATGGGGATCAGACCCTTTTTCCACGGGGAAATCCCAATCCCAACCCCAAATCTGGATCTGAACCCCCTGGGAGGAACTTCCTTACAGGGGGATCAGATCCTTTTTTCCACAGGGAAATCCCATGAGGATCAGACCCTTTTTCCATGGGGAAATCCCAGGGGGAAATCCCATGAGGATCAGACCCTTTTTCCATGGGGAAATCCCAATCCCGACCCCAAATCCACGTCTGAGCCCCCTGAAAGGAGCATCCTTCCAGGGGAATGAGACCCCTTTTCCATGGGAAAACCCCAATCCCAAATCTGGATCTGAACCCACTGAAAGGAGCATCCTTCCATGGGGATCAGACCCTTTTTCCATGGGGAAATCCTATGGGGATCAGACCCTTTTTCCATGGGGAAATCCCAACCCCAAATCCGGGTCTGTGCCCCCTGGGAGGAGCACCCAAGGGCTTGGGAGCTGCGGGAGTGAAGGGTTAAAGCTCTCCAGGCTGGAGGAGCAAATCCATCCCTTCCTTTCCTTTTTCCCCCCTTTTCCATCAACCTGCTCCAGAATTAACGGGGAGAAACCCTAAAAGAGAGAAACCCACCTTGGGATCAGAGGGAACCCCCTGAGGAACAGGAGGGTCCCAAATCTTCCTCCCAAACCCCTGGATCAGGGCAGGGTGGGGAAAATCCTGGAGCTGTCACCCCCTGAGCTCAGACATCCCAATGAAAACCCCAAAACCAATCACAGAGCCACGCTGGAATTCCCTAAAAATCCCAAATCCCCCCAAATTCGCCAGCTCAGCCCCTCGGGTGGCTGAGTTTGAGGATTGAAGGGGCAGCTGAGCTTTTGGGGGGCTCACCCCGACCCTCTGCGTCGTTCCTGCATGCGAAGATCATTTTTTAAAACCCCCAAAAAAATCCCGTAATTTCACCAGCATGAACTGTAAACCCCAAAGCCATCAATAAAACCTTTGCAGTGCCTGCATCCAGCGCTTCTGCTCCTGTCCGGGACGGATTTCCAGCCGGAATCCAGGCTGGAATTGCCGTCTAGTGGTTGGGCCGGGTATGGCACGGAGTTTTTCCCGGGAAAAGGGAAAAATTTCCATGGAAAAGGGGAAAATCTCCATGGAAAAGGCTCAGCGGGAGTGGGGAGGGATGGAGGCACCACCGGGGGATTTTAGGGTTTTTTTTTCTGGACCCTCCAGGCTTTGGTTGTGGGGATTTTTAACGGAAAAACGGATGGAAAAATAAGGGAAAAATGGATGGGGCAAATAAGGGAAAAATGAATGGGAAAATAGGGGAAAATGGATGGAAAAATTGGTGGGAAAATGGATGGAAAAACTGAGGGAAAAACTGAGGGAAAAACTGAGGGAAAAATAAGGGGAAATGCGTGGAAAAATAACGGAAACATGAATGGGAAAAGGGATGGAAAAATAAGGGAAACATGAATGGGGAAAATGGATGGGAAAATGAATGGAAAAATAAGGGGAAAATGGATGGGAAAATGGATGGAAAAATAAGGGAAACATAAATGGGAAACATAACGGGAAAAACTGAAGGAAAAACAAGGGGAAATGAATGGAAAAATAAGGGAAACATGAATGAGAAAAGGGATGGAAAAATAAGAGGAAAATGAATGGGAAAATGGATGGAAAAATAAGGGAAAAAAATGAATGGAAAAATAAGGGAAACATGGATGGAAAAATAAGGGGAAAATGGATGGGAAAATAAGGGGAAATGAATGGAAAAATAAGGGAAACATGAATGGGAAAAGGGATGGAAAAATAAGGGAAAATAAGGGAAACATGAATGGAAAAATAAGGGAAAATGGAGGGAAAAATGGATGGGAAAATAAGGAAAAATTAATGGAAAAATGGATGGAAAAATAAGGGAAAAAATAAGGGAAACATGAATGGAAAAATAGGGGAAAATGGATGGAAAAATAAGGGGAAAATGAATGGGAAACATGAATGGAAGAATAGGGGGAAATGGATGTAAAAATAAGGGGGAAAATGAATGAAAAAGTGGATGGAAAAATAAGGGGAAAAAAGGAATTTTTACAGAATTTCACACAGAGAGAAGCAGAAAGTGGAGGCTGGGAGCAGCCGAAGAAGAAGGACGACGAAGAAGAAGAAGGAGAAGGAGAAGAAGGAGAAGAAGGAGAAGAAGGAGAAGGAGGAGAAGAAGGAGAAGGAGGAGAAGAAGGAGAAGAAGGAGAAGAAGGAGAAAAAGGAGAAGAAGGAGAAGAAGGAGGAGGAGAAGAAGGAGAAGAAGGAGAAGAAGGAGGAGAAGGAGAAGAAGGAGAAGAAGGAGAAGGAGGAGAAGAAGGAGAAGAAGGAGAAGAAGGAGAAGGAGGAGAAGAAGGAGAAGAAGGAGAAGAAGGAGGAGGAGGAGAAGAAGGAGAAGGAGAAGGAGAAGAAGGAGAAGAAGGAGGAGGAGGAGAAGAAGGAGAAGAAGGAGAAGAAGGAGGAGGAGGAGAAGAAGGAGAAGGAGAAGGAGAAGAAGGAGAAGAAGGAGGAGGAGGAGAAGAAGGAGAAGGAGGAGGAGGAGGAGAAGAAGGAGAAGGAGAAGAAGGAGAAGAAGGAGAAGAAGGAGGAGGAGGAGAAGAAGGAGAAGAAGGAGAAGAAGGAGGAGGAGGAGAAGAAGGAGAAGGAGGAGGAGGAGGAGGAGGAGGAGGAGGAAGGGCAGCACACCCCAGGGCCTCTCTGAGTCATCCCGTTTTAATTCCTGTTTTGGCTCCATGGCTGCAGTCACACCGTGACTAAGGAGCTCTTAGTGCTGGGCGAGGCAGGAAATTCACCCCACAGAGGTCCCAGGGCGGGGTTCAGGCTGAAATCCCAAATCCTGAATTTCCCCCCGAGCTCCCAGGAACGAGGCGAAGATTTTTGGGTTGAGATTTTTGCGTTTTTTATTAAAGTAACAAAAAAAGCGTCGGGGGCTGGAAATTGGGGGGATAAAATGTGCTGTACATCAGGGAACAGCTGAGCCATCCTCCAGTTCCTCACAGGATTCTGAGCGTTTGCACCAAAAAAAGGAGGAAAACAAAAAACAAAAAAAAAAAAAAAAAACAAAAAAACAAACAAACAAAAAAAAACCCACAAAACCAAAAACAAATAAACAACAACAACAAAAAGCCCCAAAAACCCTAAAAAAACCAAAAAAAGAACCCAAAAAAAAAATCAACAAAAACCCCAAATTAACCCCCTGGGAAAAAACCAAACAAAAAATAAAAAACCCTAGCAACAAAAACTAAGTGAAATAAAATCCCATCATAAACAACAAAAAAAACACCAAAGAAACCCAAAACAAACAAAAAACCCACAAAAACCAAAAAACCCCCAAAACCACCCCACAAAAACACAAAAAAAACCCCCAAAAAAACCCCAAACCAACAAATAAAATACCCTAGCAACAAAAAACCAAAACAAAATTAAAAACCCCTCAAGAGCAAAAAAGATCCCCAAAAAGTAAAACAAAAAACCCAAAGAACCCCAAAAACAAAAAGCCCCAAAACAGTGCCCAAAACACAACAAAAAAAATCCCAAAAACAACACAAAGCCCGAAACAAAAAATAAAAAAACCCAAACATAAAATAAAAAACCCTAGCAACAAAAAAAAACCCCAAAATAAAACAAAACCCCCTCAAAAACAAAAAATAAAGAAAAACCAAAACAAAAACACCAAAGAACCCCAAAAACAAAAAACCCAAAAACATCCCCCAAAAACCAATAATAAAAAAAATAACATTTAAAAAGGAGCAAAAAATAAAATACCCTAGCAACAAAAAACCAAAAGAAAAGAAACCAAAACAAAAAAAAAAAAAACCAAAAAGGAAAAAAACCCCGCGCTCAAAACCAACAAAAATCCCAAAACAACCCCAGCAAAAACACAGAAAAAACAAAAAACCAAAAAAAACCAAACAAAAAATACAAAACCTAGCAAAAAAACCCCACAAAAAATTAAAAAATAACCCAAAAATAAACAAAAAACCCCACAAAAAAAAATTTAAATAAACCCCCACAAAATAACCCAAAGAAACAAGAAGCAGGTCCCGTTCAACAGTCCAGCTCGGTAAAAAATAAAAATTAAAATATAATAATAATAATAGTAATAATAATAATAATAATTAATGACAGAAACCCCCTCAAAGACATTTTCTCACAATCCACACCAGGAGAGCTCAGGAATTCACAGCTTGAAGTGGTTTCTACCCAAATCTGGTTGGTTTTGAAGGTTATTTTAAATTAAAAATAAATAAAAAAAACCCCACTTTGGAGATGAGGCTGTTTAGGGCTCCTTTGGTGGGAAAATCCTGGAAATTTTCTGGAAAAAAAAATTTCTCCCATGGAAAATTTCTCTGGGGAGAGGGAGGGAAAAAAAAATCAAATTTTGATGTTAGATTTTTATTAAAGTAACACAAAACTCGAAGTGAGGAATGCCCCCCGAAAATTACAGCACTGGGATGTGTTTTGCTGGAAAATAATTTGGGTTTTGGGTTAAAATTAAAGCATTGGGATGTGTTTTACTGGGAAATAATTTGGGTTTTGGGTTAAAATTAAAGCATTGGGATGTGTTTTGCTGGAAAATAATTTGGTTTTTTTTGGTTTTTGGGTTAAAATTAAAGCATTGGGATGTGTTTTACTGGAAAATAATTTGGTTTTTTTTGGTTTTTGGGTTAAAATTAAAGCACTGGGATGTGTTCTACTGGGAAATAATTTGGTTTTTTTGGTGTTTTTTGGGTGTGGGTGAGGTCACCTATTGCACAAGTGAAAATTCCCCTCAGAGCTTCCTTCCTGCTCTGCTGACGTGGAAATTCCAGTGAAGAGGGAAGTGATGCAAGCCCAGAGTGCTTGCAAGCACAAACAAACTGATATTTAAATAAAAATATATAAATATTTGAGAATTGAGGTTGACTTTTCAGTTCTGGACTTGAAAAAAAGAAAATAAAATCTGAATTTTAGAAGGGGGAGAAATGCAATGATGGGAATGATGCAAGCCCAGAGTGCTCTGATCTCCTCATGCACAAACAAAACTGGTATTTCCATTTAAAAAATAAAAATATTTGAGAATTTAGGTTGAATTTTTCAGTTCCGGACTTGCAAAAGAAAATAAAATCTGAATTTTAGAAGGGGGAGAAATTCCAGTGAAGAGGGAATGATACAACCCCAGACTCTGCTCTGATCTCAAGCTGATATTAAAATAAAAATAAAAATATAAATATTTGAGAATTCAGGTTGATTTTCCAGTTCTGGACTTGGAAAAAAAAGCCAAAAATCTGAATTTTAGAATGGAAGAGAGACGTGATGCAACTCCAAACTCTGATCTCAGGCACAAACAACATTAAAAAAAAAAACAAAAACATTAAATGACATTTAAAAAATATAAATATTTGAGCATTGAGGTCGATTTTCCAGTTCTGAACTTGCAAAAATAAATCTGAATTTTCAAAGGCAGGGCTGGGTTGCTGAGCTGGATAATTTGATTTATTCGGGATTTGGAAATGTGTTGCACAAACGTCTGAGAATTTGAATCGTCAGGAAAAGGGGAAGAGAGAAAAAATCCAGGAAGTTTTGCAACAACCAAACCCCAAATTTCTCCATGGGGAGGTGGGAAAAGGGCAGAGGAATTTGGGATTTCACAGGAAAGGCTCCTTCCCAAAATCCAGGTGGGGTTTAGGGCATTTAGGTGCCACTGAATTTGGGATTTAAAGGTGAAATCCTAAATAAAATCCATTTAAAGATTCTCAGTGGTGTTTGTAGCACCTTCCCAAAATCAAGGTGGGGTTTAGGATCTTTAGGTGCCACTAAATTTGGGATTTAAAGGTGAAATCCTAAAAAAAAAAAACCCTTCTAAGGTGTTTGCAGTGATCATTCCCAGCATCAAATGGGGTTTAGGACCTTTAGGTGCTAATAAAAATATATTATAAAATATATAAAATAATATAATGCAAATAAATTTGGGATTTAAAGGTGAAATCCTAAACAAAATCCATTTAAAGGTACTCAGCGGTGATTGTAGCTCCTTCCCAGCATCCAGATGGGGTTTAGGGCATTTAGGTGCCAATAAATTTGGGATTTAAAGGGTTTTCTTTAGGAATTCACATTTAAGGGTTTCTTAGTGGTGTTTGTAGCTCCTTCCCAAAATCCAGGTGGGGTTTAGGGCATTTAGGTCCCACTAAATTTGGGGTTTAAAGGTAAAATCCTAAAGAAAATCCATTTAAAGGTTCTCAGACATGTTCGTAGCTCCTTCAGAAAATCAAGGTGGGATTTAGGATCTTTAGCTGCCACCAAATTTGGGATTTAAAAGGGTTTTCTTTAGGATTTTACATTTAAGGGTTTCTCACAGGTGTTTGTAGCTCCTTCCCAAAATCAAGATGGGATTTAGGACCTTTAGCTGCCACTAAATTTGGGGTTCCAAGGCCAAAATCCCAAAACCCACCCGGGCAGAGCCTCCCTGAATTCAAGAGGAAACGCAGAGAGCAGAAATTTCAAATTGTGCAAAGTTTTGTACCAGGGATGGGACCCAAACCCCTTTCCCAAAACGCCCACAGAGAGCAGGGAGAGCCCCCCAGAAATGCAGATTTGGGGAGAAAAGGCACCAAAAAGGGGGTGACACACAGCAACCCCTGCAGGACGAGGAGGGGAGGGACACAAGGACACAGAGGGGACACAGGGGGGACACCAGGGTAGAAAATCCACAGGTCCAGGGTGGTGGCAGCAGCAGGAACGTCCCCTCAGTGCCACCAGCGTCACCATGGGGACACTGCCAGGTGTCTCTGCCCTGCTCCAGGTGCCAGGTGAGCCCTGCCAGGGGTTGGGACAGGACATCCAGGAGGGACATCCCAATGTCCCCAATGTCCCCAGAGTCACCCAGCCCTGAGTGACACCAAATTCAGGCCCCAAATCTCCACCTGGAGGTGCAGCAGAGCAAAGGTGACAGCAGGGTGGTGACAAGGTGACAAGGCAGCCACACCGCCCAGCCTGGCTTCACCCCCTCATCCCCCATTCCAAAGCCAGCCCCAAAATCATCATTCAAACATTAAATTAGGCAGATTTCAGCTTCATAACAACAATAAAAAAGAGAAACTCACGAGTTTGCAACAGCTTTAGAAAAGGCACCTGGTCTGGGGTGGTGGCAGCAGCAGGAACGTCCCCTCAGTGCCACCAGCGTCACCATGGGGACATTCCCAGGTGTCTCTGCCCTGCTCCAGGTGAGTCCTGCCAGGGGTTGGCACAGGACATCCAGGATGGCAATCCCAATGTCCCCAATGTCCCCAGAGTCACCCAGCCCTGAGTGACACCAAATTCAGGCCCCAAATCTCCACCTGGAGGTGCAGCAGAGCAAAGGTGACAGCAGGGTGGTGACAAGGCAGCCACACCGCCCAGCCTGGCTTCACCCCTCATCCCCCATTCCAAAGCCAGCCCCAAAATCATCATTCAAACATTAAATTAGGCAGATTTCAGCTTCACAATTACAATTAAAAAAAGAGAAACTCACAAGCTTGCAACAGCTTTAGAAAAGGCACCTGGTGTGGGGTGGTGGCAGCAGCAGGAACGTCCCCTCAGTGCCACCAGCGTCACCATGGGGACACTGCCAGGTGTCCCTGCCCTGCTCCAGGTGCCAGGTGAGCCCTGCCAGGGGTTGGGACAGGACATCCAGGAGGGACATCCCAATGTCCCCAATGTCCCCAGGGTCAGCCAACAGGGCAGGGCAGAGCTGCTGCACGTCCAGGAGGGTGACACCAATGTCACCAATGTCCCCAGCCCTGAGTGACACCAAATCCAGGCCCCAAATGCAGCACTGCAACACCTGGAGATGCAGCAAAGGTGACAACAGGGTGGTGACAAGGTGACAAGGCAGCCACACCGCCCAGCCTGGCTTCACCCCCTCATCCCCCATTCCAAAGCCAGCCCCAAAATCATCATTCAAACATTAAATTAGGCAGATTTCAGCTTCATAACAACAATAAAAAAGAGAATTTCACAAGCCTGAAACAGCCTTAGAAAAGGCACCTGGTCTGGGGTGGTGGCAGCAGCAGGAACGTCCCCTCAGTGCCACCAGGGTCACCTTGGGGACACTGCCAGGTGTCCCTGCCCTGCTCCAGGTGCCAGGTGAGCCCTGCCAGGGGTTGGGACAGGACATCCAGGAGGGTGACCCCAATGTCCCCAGGGTCACCCAACAGGACAGAGCAGAGCTGCAGCACATCCAGCAGGGCCACTCCAATGTCCCCAGCCCTGAGTGACAGCAAATCCAGGCCCCAAATGCAGCACTGCAACACCTGGAGATGCAGCAATGGTGACAGCAGGGTGGTGACAAGGTGACAAGGCAGCCACACCGCCCAGCCTGGCTTCACCCCCTCATCCCCCATTCCAAAGCCAGCCCCAAAATCACCATTAAGCAGATCTCAGTTTCACAATAACAACAATAATAACAAATACAAAAAAAGAGAAACTCACAAGCTTGCAACAGCTTTAGAAAAGGCACCTGGGGCGTCGCCTCGGCTCAGAGCGGCGCCCGAAATTTTAATTTTGGATTTTCTGAAGGTTTTTTTTTTTTTTCTTAAAAAATATAAATAAGCTCTTCATCTTAAAAACAGATCCTCAGCTTGAGGCATTACAGTAGCCTGTGTCTCGGCAGCGTAAGGACGAGGAGGAGAAAAAAAAAAAAAATTTTTTTTTTTTTTTTTTTTTCTTTTTGTCGCGTTTTTGTGTGGGGTGGGTGGTGGGTTGGGGGTGTTTTTTGGTATTTTTTTTTTTTTTTGTTCGTTTTAACTGGAGACAGTCATGATGTAGTTTTTGGAAGGGCTGCTGCGGCCCAGCATCATCTGGTTCTTGCAGGTGAGCATCCCTCCGTAGGGGCTGGCGTGGTGGGGCCTGGCGGCCTGGTAGAGGACGCAGATGGAGCCGTCCTCGCCGATCCTGTAGGAGACCTCGTAGGGATCCACCCAGAGCGTGAGCTCGCGGGGCAGCAGCTGGAACAGCTGGGGCACGCCCAGCCCGCCCTGCCCCGCCGCCCGGCTCAGCAGAGGGTCCATCCGCTGGTTGATGCGGATGCAGCGGTAGCCGGAGCCTTTGGAGGGCTTCTCGGGGAACCAGTGGTGTCTGTAGTGCTCTGGGGAGGGAAAAACAGCTGTGAGCAGAGATATCCTGAAAGTAGGTGGGGTTTAGGGCACTTAGACACCACTAAATTTGGGGTTTGAAGGTGAAATCCTAAAGAAAATGCCTTTAAAGGGCTTCTCGGGGAACCAGTGGTGTCTGTAGTGCTCTGGGGAGGGAAAAACGGCTGTGAGAAAAGATATCCCAAAGGTAGATGGGGTTTAGGGCACTTGGGTACCACTAAATTTGGGGTTTGAAGGTGAAATCCTAAAGAAAATGCCTTTAAAGGGCTTCTCGGGGAACCAGTGGTGTCTGTAGTGCTCTGGGAAAAGAAAAACAGCTGTGAGCAGAGATATCCTGAAAGGAGGTGCGGTTTAGGGCACTTGGGTACTACTAAATTTGGGGTTTGAAGGTGAAATCCTAAAGAAAACCCTTTTTTCTCAATGGTGTCTGTAGTGCTCTGGGGAAAGAAAAACAGCTGTGAGCAGGGATATACTGAAAGGAGGTGCGGTTTAGGGCACTTGGGTACCACTAAATTTGGGGTTTAAAGGTGAAATCCTAAAGAAAACCCTTTTGAAGGGTTTCTCGGGGAAGCAGAGGTGTTTGTGATACTCTAAGGAGGGAAAAGAAACGTGAAAAAGGATATCCTGAAAGTAGGAGGGGTTTAGGGCCTTTAGCTGCCATTAAATTCAGAGTTTAAAGGCCAAATCCTAAAGAAAACCCAGTGAGAAATGGTGTCCCAGGAAAGGCTCCTTCCCAGCAGGCAGGTGGGGTTTAGGGCCTTTAGCTCCTATTAAATTCAGAGTTTAAAGGTGAAATCCTAAAGAACACCCTTTGAAGGGTTTCTTGAGGAACCAGTGGTGTCTGTAGTGCTCTGGGGAAAGAAAAACACCTGTGAGAAAGGATATCCTGAAAGGAGGTGGGGTTTAGGGCACTTGGGTACCACTAAATTTGGGGTTTGAAGGTGAAATCCTAAAGAAAACCCCTTCTTCTCAGTGGTGTCTTTTTCCCTCCCCAAAGCACTACAGAGATGTGAGAAAAGAATATCCTGCAGGTAGGTGGGGTTTAGGGTCTTTAGCTCCCATTAAATTTAAGAGTTTAAAGCCCAAATCCTAAGGAAAACCCTTTTTTCCCACTGGTGTTTGTAGTGCTCTGGGGAGAGAGAAGAGCAGTGAGAAAATAATATCGTACAGGTAGGTGGGGTTTAAAGGTGAAATCCTAAAGAAAACCCTTTTAAGTTTACAGTGGTGTCTGTAGCGCTTTGGGGAGGGAAAAAGAGAGGTGAGAGAAGATATACCAAAGGTAGATGGGGTTTAGGGCACTTAGATACCACTAAATTTGGGGTTTGAAGGTGAAATCCTAAGGAAAACCCTTTTTTCTAAATGGTGCTTGTAGTGCTCCAGGGAGGGGAAAAAGAGCTGTGAGCAGGGATAGTCCAAAGGTAGATGGGGGTGAGGGCACTTGGGTACCACTAAATTTGGGGTTTAAAGGTGAAATCCTAAAGAAAACCCTTTTGAAGAGATGTGAGAAAGGATATCCCAAAAGTAGGTGGGGTTTAAATTCAGGTTTAAAAGGTGAAATTCTAAACAATGCCCTTTGGAGTGTTTCTCAGGGAACCAGTGGTGTCTGTAGTGCTCTGGGGAAACAAAAACGGCTGTGAGAGAAGATATCCCAAAGGTAGTGGGGTTTAGAGCCTTCAGCTGTAACTAAATTTGGGGTTTGAAGGTGAAACCCTAAAGAAAACCCTTTTAAGTTCACAATGGTGCTCATAGTGCTCTGGGGAGGGAGAAGAGCTGCGAGAACGGGTATCCCAAAAGTAGGTGGGATTTAGGTGCCACTAAATTTGGGGTTTAAAGGTGAAATCCTAAAGAAAACCCTTTTGAAGGGTTTCTCAGGAAAGGGTGTCCTAAAAGTAGGTGGGATTGAGGCCCTTTAGCTGCCATTAAATTCAGACTTTAAAGGCCAAATCCTAAGGAAAACCCTTTGAAGGGTTTCTCAGTGGTGTTTGCAGTGCTCTGGGAAAAGAAAAAAGAGCAGTGAGCTGGGATATCCCAGGTAAGGCTCCTTCCCAGCAGGCAGGTGGGGTTTAGGGCCTTTAGCTGCCACTAAATTTGGGGGTTAAAGGCCAAATGCTAAAGAAAACCCTTTTGAAGAGATGTGAGAAAGGATATCCCAAAAGTAGGTGGGGTTTAAATTCAGGTTTAAAAGGTGAAATTCTAAAGAAACCCCTTTGAAGGGTTTCTCTGTGGTGTTTGTAGTGCTCTGGGAGAGGAGAAGAGCTGTGAGAAAAGACATCCCAAAAGTAGGCGGGGTTTAGGTGCCACTGAATTTGGGGATTAAAGGCCAAATCCTAAAGAAATCCCAGTGAGAAATGGCGTCCCAGGAAAGGCTCCTTCCCAGCAGGCAGGTGGGGTTTAGGCCCTTTAGCTGCCACTAAATTTGGGGTTTAAAGGCCAAATCCTAAAGAAAACCCTTGGAAGGGTTTTGCAGCGGTGTCTGCAGTGCTCCCTCCCAGCAGGCAGGTGGGGTTTAGGGCCCTTAGATACCAGCAAATTCAGAGTTTAAAGGTGAAATCGTAAGAAAAACCCTTTAAAGGGTCCCTCGGGGAACCAGCGCTGTCTGCAGTGCTCCCTCCCAGCAGGCAGGTGGGGTTTAGAGCCTTCAGCTCTCACCAAATTCAGGGTTTAAAACCCAAATCCCAATAAACACCCGGGCAGAGCCTCCCTGAAGGCCGGGAGCACAAAAGGAACCGGGCAGGGCAGGAAATTAAACCGGGCAGAGCAGGAAATTAACACTGCACCAAAAGTTCTGCACCAAAGAGTTCGGTACCAAAAGTTTGGTACCCAAATCCCTTCTCCAAGGGGGGCAGGGAGAGGGAAGCACTGGGCACCCCAAAAACCCCATCAGGACAATGCCAGGGGCTGTGGGGGCAGATAGGGCACCCCAAAGCTGCCCCATCCCACACTCTGCCCTCGGCTCCCCCTTATCACAGCCCGGCCACCCCTCCTGGGGCTGATAACAGCCCCGGGCCGGAGGGAGGGAGCCCCGCACCGCCCAGGGAGGGACACGGGCGGTGACACCGGCACGGGCACGGCAGGGACCGGGCAGCACTGGGGACACCGCCGGGAGCGGCGCTGGGATGGGACAAAGGGACACAAAGGGACAGACGGCAGCGAGAGTGGCACGGGACACTCCAAGGGGTGGCCGACCCGAGGGGACACGGGGGACACTCGGGAGGGGACACGGGGGGTGTCCCGGAGGGGACACCCGGTCCTGGAGGGGACACAAGGTCCTGGGCACGACACGGAGGGGACACGGGAGACACTCGGGAGGGGATACCCAAGGGGACACCAGGTCCCAGGAGCGACATAGAAAAGGACATCAGGTCCTGGAAGGAACACAGGAGGCACCCCAGAGGGGACACCCGGTCCTGGATGGGACACGGGGGCACTCGGGAGGGGACAGCCGGTCCCGAGAGCGACACGGAAAAGGACATCAGAACCTGGAGGGGACATGGGGGACAGCCCAGGAGGGACAACAGGACCCAGCAGTGACACCGGGAGCACTCGGGAGGGGACACCCGGTCCCGGAGGGGACACGGGAGCCACTCGGGAGGGGACATCACGTCCCGAGACCAAGATGGGAGGGGCACCAGCTCCTCGGAGCAACAATGGGGGGCACTCTGGACGGCCACCAGGTCCTGGAAGGAGCACAGATGGCACTCGGTATGGCCACCAAGTCCCGGAAGGAGCACAGACGGCACTAAAAGGGACACCAGGTCCTCGCACCACCATGGGGGGGCACTCAAAGGGCCACCAGCTCCTGGAAGGCACACGGGGGAAGCGCTCCAGTGTCGCCCTGGCCCCGAGGGCCACCAGCGGGCTCTGTCACCGCCCTCGCCCCGAGCTCACCTGTGAGCGCCTCCCGCAGCGCCCCGCTGAAGACCTGCAGCTGCTGCTCGCTGACGCAGCCCCGCGTCCGCAGCAGGCCGGACACGAAGCCCACGGCGGCGGCGATCTCGGGCACCATGTCGGCCCGGGGCCCGCGGCGCTGGCTGTGGCGCTGGCTCATCCCGGCGGGGACGCGGCGACACCCGCGACCTTCTCGGCGGCTCCGCGGCGCTCGGACTGGCGGCCGCTGGCGCTGCGGGCGGTTTATATAGGGCGGCTCGCGCGCGACGTCACGGCGCGGCCTCGGCGTTCCATTGGCCGCGCCGCATGCAAATGAGGGAATGCAAATGGAGCGGTATGGTAATAGCGGCTGAGCTCAGCGCGGTGACGTCACAGCGCGCGGGGGTGGGGGCGGTTACCGGGGGAGGATCGGGGGAACCGGGAGGGGACGGAGGGACACAAGGACAGAGGGACAGGGACAGGGACAGGATAGGGATAGAGGGACAGGGACAGGGACAGAGGGACACAAGGACAGGGACAGGATAGGGACGGGATAGAGGGATAGGGACAGGATAGGGATAGAGGGATAGGGATAGGGACAGAGGGACACAAGGACAGGGACAGGACAGGGACAGGACAGGGACAGGACAGGGACAGGATAGGGACAGAGGGACAGGGACAGAGGGACAGGGACACACGGACAGAGGGACACGAATAGGGGACAGGGGGACAGGGATAGGGGGACAGGGATAGGGGGATAGGAATAGGGGGACAGAGGGACACAGGGACAGGGGGACAGGGACAGGAATAGGCACAGAGGGACACAAGGACAGAGGGACAGGGGGGACAGGGGGACAGAGGGACAGGACAGGGGGACAGGGATAGGGGGACAGGGATAGGGACAGAGGGACAGGGATAGGGGACAGGGACAGGGGGATAGGGATAGGGGGACAGAGGGACACAAGGACAGGGGAACAGGACAGGGACAGAGGGACACAAGGGCAGAGACACAAGGGTAGGGACAGAGGGACAGGGACAGCGACACAGGGACAGAACAGGGACACAGAGGAATGGGACCAGGACAGGGATAGGGACAGGGACAGAGAGGGACACAGGGATAGGGACACAGGAGGAAATGAGGGGTGACAGTGCCACCCCCTCCACCTTCTGAACTTCCTGAACCTTCTGAATCTCCTGAAGAAGGTTCCAGGTGTCCCTTGGAGGACATGAGGGGTGACAGTGCCACCCCCTGAACCTCCTGAACTTTCTGAAGAAGGGAGAAGGTTCCAAGTGTCCCTTACAGGACATAAGAGGTGACAGTGCCACCCCTGAACCTCCTGAACCTTCTGAAGAAGGGAGAAAGTTCCAGATGTCCCTGCAGGACATGAGAGGTGACAGTGCCACCCCCTGAATCTCCAGAACTTTCTGAACCTCCTGAACATTCTGGACCTCCTGAAGAAGGGAGAAGGTTCCAGGTGTCCCCTGCAGGACACAAGAGGTGACAGCGCCACCCCCACCCCACCCGAGGAGGCTGCAGGGGACACCTGGGACCTCCCAGCCCCACTGCAGGCGGGAGGAAGGGCAGGGTGCAGGAGGAGGTGGCACCGGGGCCGTGTCCCACGCCAGGACAAGCCGGGGCAGCCACGGAGCCTCCAGGGGCTCCCAGCCAGCCCAGAGGGAGGCACAGGAGGAGCCCTGATGCTGTGGGAGATGCAGGAGCACCTGGAAGCCACCACAGGAGCTCCTGCTGAAACTGGCCCCGAGCTAGAGAGCAGCGGGAGGGCGAGCTCCTGCCTTTGATCACCCATGGGAGAGCTCAGATGGAGGCAGGGGTGGGATCCTGGCTGAGATGTTCCCTGCCTGAGCTCCAGGATGGGTTCAACCAACGTCCTCCAGTTCCAAACCAACCTTCTCCAATTCCAAACCAACCCTGTCCAGTTCCAAACCAACCTTCTCCAACTCCAAATCAACCTCCCCCAGTTCCAAACCAGCCTCCTCCAGTTCCAAATTAACCTCCTTCAGTTCCAAACCAACCTCCTGCAATCCCAAACCAAACCTGTCCAGTCCCAAACCAACCTTCTCCAGTTCCAAATCAGCCTCCTCCAGTCCCAAACAAACCTTCTCCAGTCCCATATCAACCTTCTCCAGTTCCAAACCAACCTCCTCCAATTCCAAACCAACCCTGTCCAATTCCAAACCAACCCTGTCCAATTCCAAACAAACCTCCTCCAATCCCAAATTAACCTCCCCCAATTCCAAACCAACCTTCTCCAATTCCAAACCAACCTCCCCCAATTCCAAACCAACCTCCCCCAGTTCCAAACCAACCTCCCCCAGTTCCAAACCAACCTCTCCCATTTCCAAATCAGCCTCCCCCAGTTCCAAACCAACCCACTCCAGTCCCAAACCAACCTTGAGCTCCTGGAGGAGGACCTGGACCCACAGCTCTGCTCTGATGGGCAGGAAAACGCCCTCTGCTCCCCAAAGGAGGTTCCAGGTGCTCACCTGGCATCTCCAGATCAGCACAGGGGGGAATGGACACGCTGGGGTGGGAGGTTTCTAGTGGGGTTTGATGTTTGAGGTGCAGTTGTGAGACTGGATCAGGTTCTTTGGGGTTTTTTCTGCTTGGGTTTTGTGGATTTTGGAGGTTGGAGCTCGGAGGGTTTTTTGGGGAATGGTTGTTGCTGAGATGGAAAAGGTTTTCTCACATTCAGTCTGAATCTCTTGTTTTAATTTGTGTTTTTGGTTTTATTACTGTATACGACAGAAGGGTGTGGTTTTATTTGGTTAAACTCTTCATGGGTGTTCAGAAGATTATTTTTGATATTATTTTCAAGAGAAGTGCTGGGAGCAGTTGGGATGAGGAATCCCACCTCTCTGGGGCTCCTCAAGGTCCTGTCCCTCTGGAAAATTATCCTGGACTTCTGACCCTTGGGTTTCCACTGGAAAATTATTCTGGGCTTGCTGACCCTCTCCTATCCCACTGGAAAATTATCCTGGATTGCCGATCCTTGGGATTCTGTCCTTCTAGAAAATTATCCTGGATTGCTGACTCTTTCTTGTTCCACTGGAAAATTATCCTGGACTTCTGATCCTTTTCTGTCTCTCTAGAAAATTATCCTGGATTGCTGATCCTTGGGGTCTTGTCCCTCTGGAAAATTATCCTGGATTTGCTGACCCTTTTCTGTCCCACTGGAAAATTATCCTGGACTTCTGACCCTTGGGTTTCCACTGGAAAATTATTCTGGGCTTGCTGATCTTTTTCAGTCCCACTAGAAAATTATCCTGGAATTGCTGACCCTTGGGGTTCTGTCCTTCTAGAAAATTATGCTGGATTGCTGACTCTTCCCTGTTCCACTGGAAAATTATCCTGGATTTGCTGACCCCCCTTTTCTGCCCAACTGGAAAATTATCCTGGATTTCTGACCCTTTTCTGTCCCACTGGAAAATTATCCTGGACTTCTGATCCTTTTCTGTCCCTCTAGAAAATTATCCTGGATTTCTGACCCTTGGGTTCCTGTAAATTATCCTGGATTGCTGATCCTTGGGGTCTTGTGCCTCTGGAAAATTATCCTGGATTTGCTGACCCTTTTCTGTCCCACTGGAAAATTATCCTGGACTTCTGATCCTTTTCTGTCCCTCTAGAAAATTATCCCGGCCTTTCGAGTCTTCCCTGCAAAATTATCCTGGATTTGCTGACCCTTGGGGTTCTGTCCCTCTGGAAAATTATCCTGACCAAGGGGCAGCATCACCCATTTGTACCCCTAACAATGGGGATGGCTGAAATTTTCCAGCACCTCCAGGTCTCAAATTCCCAATATTTCCCAGGATTCTGGGCTGTAATGGGATTTTTTTTTTTAAATTGAGGCCTTTTGCTAGCGGCCTGCAGCTGATTTTAGTCCTGCTCTGGGTTTATTCCTGCTCTGGGTTTATTCCTGCTCTGCACGAGGGATTTCCCACCCAGAGCTGTGAACAGGAATTGGGATCGGGACAGGAATAAGGGGAAGGAAAATGGAAATTTGGGAATTGTGGGAAAGGGAATTCAGAGTTCCTGACCCCATTCCGTGCCCAGGGCTGGGTCAGGTTTGAGAGCAGACACAGCCCAAGGGTCCCCAAATCCTCCCCTCCCCATCTGCCACCCCAGAGCAGAGGAAATCAGGCAAATCTCTCGCCACAAACCAGATTTGCCTTTGTAAGCCTTGAAATAAACCCAAGGATTAAAGTCTGAGGATTTTTTTTTTCCCCTATTTTTTAATTTAAGTCAGCACCACAAATGAACGAGGCCTGGGAGAGCCTGAGCCCAGCACAGGCTGCAGGGGCGGGGGGTTGGATATTTGGATATTTGGATATTTTGGATATTCCAGAGGCCCCTGGAAGAGGCTGGACAAACACCCAGAGCTCCGAACACACCTGGGCACGTGGATCAGCAGGAAAAAATGGGAATCAGGCAAACAAAAAAAAAAAGGGAATCCAGCAAAACCATCCTGGTGGGAAACATCACCCGCGTGCAAAAACAGCCAGAAAAACCAAATTTAAAAAAAAAAATTAAATAATTAAAAATTAAATTAATACATAAACAAAGTTATTAAAAATTTTAATTTAATAGATAAAAATTAAAAAATTAATTAATTGAAAATTAAAATAATAAAATTATTTTAAATTTTTAAAATTAATACAGTGAACATAAAAATTAAAAACCAATTCATTAAAATGAATTAAATTAATAAATAAAACTATTTTAAAATTTTAAAAATTAATTTTTAATAAATTAAAAATAAAAGTGTAAATCATTAATTAGAATTAAATTAATAAAGAAAATTATTTTAAACGTAAAAAATAATAAATTTTAAAAATAGTTAATTAAAATTAAATTAAATTAATAAATAAAACCATTTTAATTTTTTTAAATTAATTTTTAATAAATGAAAAATAAAAAATGAAAAGAATTCAATAAAATTAAATTAATAAATAGAATTATTTTTAAAATAAAAATAATTAATTATAAATCAATTAATAACTAAAATTACTTTAAATTAATAAATTAATAAATTAAAAATAAAAATTAATATAAAATTTATTTCACTGAGCTGAGCTGGGCCATCCCAGCTGGGATCAGGGCTGGTTTCCCTCAGCCAAAGGAATTTTGGGGTGGAATCCTCCAGCCCTGAGTCACTGGCTGCAGCCTGGCCCAGAGCAGCTCTAATAACCAGGGCTAT